GCCATAACATTATGTTTCTTTACAAGTGTATGTAAACTTTTGACCACAACTGTAAGTTTGCTTTCAAAAAACAAGCAGCCCCCCACCCCGTTACGTATGCATTTGTGATTTATTTAGTGTTGTAGATGAATGATCCTGTAAGGCAATGTCTGATATGCCTGTACTAATTTTACCACAAATCTATTTCCCCATGGAGACATTTAAAGTATAAAGTATGAAAGTAAGTACTTTCACTTTTTACCCAACTTCTTAGTGTGTCCTTGAGAATAACTGACATTTTAAAAAGTGTAAATGGTATTTATTATTGATGTACTGTAGTTATGGAGTGTACAAAATGGAAAAAGGGAAATTACAGGAACAAAAACTAAAAACAAAGCATGGATTTTTATTTTGTGTTTACTTGTTCCCTGCGGTTTAATGTGAAACAGGTCACGTTTAAAAATAAAGGTCTTTGCAGCTAAAGTTAGAAAACATCCTCTAACCTTTAAGTTTTATAAGAACCCCCCACCCCCCAACCCCCCAGAAAGGTGACCTAGAGGGGAGACAGTCTTACCATGGCTGTAGCTGACCCCTGGGCTGAGGGTGGAGGGTGTGCTGATGTGCTCTCTGCTGGGGGTTTGGAGGCCTGCCTCCTTCTCCTTGTCCCTCTCCTTCACCTGCCGCTGGCTCATCCTGCCTGGGGTCAGAAGGACGGAGTCATCGCTGTGCACTACGGCAGCTTCGGATGGAGAGAGGGAGACGGAAGGAGAGAGATAAAGGAGGGGGGGTGAACAAAGAGAACATGATGCCAGTGTTTGCTTTAAACAACATATTTACAGGCAGCACTCTCCTGAAGCATCTGTTATGTGCAGCCCTCTGTTTCATAACCTATTTTGATATCTTACATAACGTTTGTTTTCATCCAGATCTTATGACTGGAAAAAAAGGTGCATCATGGGAGCAGAAAACCTGAAAACACGAGTCTCTTTTAATCCCTCTACCTTGTTTCCATGAGTCTGATGAAACCGGAYGTCATTATGTTTAAACGAGCCCTGATATGACTGAGTGAAAATAAAATACAAGCTAATCAGCTTGTGTTAATCAATTGATAAACTGAACAAATCTGTTTAAAAACATCCAGAATTCACTCTTTTTATTTCAAAATAAAAGTCTAGCATTCTTTGAAAGAATATTGTCTGCCGCATTTTGTGTCAGAGGTTTTATTTTATTTTTATTTTTTTTATGAAAACCACCTTGTTCTGAGTTACAGGTGTTTGGACAAATGCTGCAAAAAAATTAACACTTTTTTGGAATTCTTTGATGTATTCCAACAACACAGATTATATA